AGGGGGCCCTGGCCCACTTGGGGTCTACCGCCTCTCCTCCGTGACTACTAATTTCATCTGCACAACCACCTTCTCTTCCGTTTTCTTAAATATGTAATTGGCAGGGGCTTTACTAAAAGTTTTGATTGGTTTTTTTCTCTGGAAATCCACCTGGAGAAAACCATTTTCAGCCCCAGAGGGGATTGAGGGCAAACCCATGACAGGAAACAATTAAATAAGAATTTTACTGTGGTGTTGAAAAAACAGATTAAACAAACTGATTGTAAAGTGCGTCCATTCACTCCTCGTAATTGGATATATGTTAAGGATTTTTCAGGAGACCCTCTACAAGAAAAGTGGGATGGACCTTTCCAGGTGTTGCTGACCATGTTCACAGCAGTCCACATAGAAGAATGGTCCACCTGGATTCACTACTCCCGAGTCAAGAGAGCCCCTAAGAAACTATGGACCTCAGAACTCGTAGGACCAAAGGCAAAGTAAACCAAGGTAGACCTTTGAATAAGAGAAATAGGCCTGAAGCTAAAGCTCTCTCCAAGCTTCACTGACTGGGGCAAAAACAATAGAAAGGTAGAGAGGTCATATGGAGGAAGACTATGGAAGACCCCAGCCCCACAGGATGAAGGACCGAAGGTACCACCAAGAATGGGGGTCAAGAAAGGGCTCCGCCTGGACTCCACCCAGACTCCACCTATTATCAATATGTATGTTTAGATGTTGCAATCATATGAATATGTATGTTAAGATGTTGTAGTCATAGAAGTTAGACTGTATCAATTACCCTGTTTTGCACCAATACCTTAGAGCAAGAGCTTTGTGGTGCGAACCACGCTTGCTCCCGATGTCGACAAATAAATACCTTTTCTGCTCAAAAGACCAAAAGGCTTCTGAGCGGTTTCTTTACCGGATTTCTCGGATTCAGCTTGTCTTAGGGCCCATGGGCACAGCTCCTGGAACTTGGAGATTTCCTCCTTAAAGCAGTTCCAGCCTTCCTGGACTCCTTTGCCCTTCAGGACTGACTCCCAAGGGACTCCATCAATCAATCTCCCAAACAGGCCAAAGTCTACCTGTCCTCAGTCCAAGGTGTCAGTTCTGCTGCCACATCTTTCCTCTACCTACAATGGAAACCTCCATCATTTTGGGGTCTCTGTGCCCAATGGCTCCAACCACCCCATCCCCCACCAGCCACAGAATCATGGAATGGTTTGGGTTGGAAGGGACCTTAAAGAACCTTCTCTTTTCCAGGCTGAACAATCCCAATTCTCTCAGTCTTTCCTCACAGTAGAGCTGCTCCATCCCTCTGATCACCTTGGTGTTCTCTTCCGGACTCGCTCCAGCAGGTCCACGTCCTTCCTGTGCTGGGACCCCAAAGCTGGAGAGGCAACCACTGCAGGGTTGACAACGTTACAGCCATGTGTGTTCCAGCAAGGACACTGTGGAACCTCCTGGAGTAAAGGGACCCTTGTGACACTGTAGGGCCTTCTGGACCCAAAGGAACCCTGGGACACTGTGGAATCTCGTGGAATCAAGGGAGCATTGTGACAAGGTGAAAACTCATGGAATCAAGGGACCCCTGTGACACTGTGGAATCTCATGAAACCAAGGGGTCACTGTGATATGTGGGGCCTCTTCGAACCAAAGGAGTCCTGAGACATTTTGCCAACTCATGGAATCAAGAGTCCATTATCACACTACAGAACCTGACAAAACCAAATGGACCCTGTGACTCTGTGGAACCTCCTGGAATCTCGTGGCCATTCCAACACTGGAAAACCTCAGGGATACCATCAGGTTCCCATTATTAAAAGACGCCTCTGTGTGTGGACCATGTGCCAAAGTCAGCAGTAGAGGTTTGATTGAACAGTAAATATGAGGGAGAGAGAGAGGAAGGGAGTGGTGGGAAGACAGTGAGAGACAGACAGAGATTCAGTAAATATATCACACCATGGAGATCCCTGAGGCGTCCCGCTGGTCCTTCTTCACCCTGGTCCATCGATGGTGGGCCCCGAAGTTGTGCTTCTGGGGGATCCCTTTTATACAGTCCAAGGCCTGGGTATTCAGGGGGGTAGATGCTGTTCCCACAACTTGGACTGGCACGTGTACAAGGACTTGCTTCCTTTCCCACAGCTTGACACAGTGGGAGTTTTGCCCTGTGTGCTTACAGTCTGCAAGTGGGAATCTTTTCCTGGATGGGTTCCCCACACCTGTCTTACCAGTCCTGGCTTCCTACTGTGGCTCTCCACTCTTTCCCACAGTCTGCACAGTGCACTTCAGTCCTGTGTGCTACTTCCAGAGCTTCACATCCATTAAGGTCTTGAAATTAAATGCCTTCCTTTTTGCCACCAATGCTTCTGTGTTGTGGTGCCTTATGGGATTTTCCTTCTTTGACAGTGTTTTGAGACAGTTCCTTGTGCCCTTCAAGTGCACACACATGCGCACGCAGTAGTCTCACCAGTGTCAAGCCCTCCAAAGAACACAAGACCTGATGATTTGTAGCTCCCACTTCAGTCGTTGCACATGTACCTCTCTCCACAACCAGAGCTCAGAGCTCCCTTGTCCCAGAAAGGTTATTGTACCTCATTCTGCCAAGACAACCCTTGGAAAAAAGTGTCACTCTGTGTTTCCTGAGATAAGAGCACTAAATTGTCCTCTTCCAAAACCTTGGAGAGGTCACAGAGATCTCCCAGGAAGGAATTTGGGGCCTCAAGCATGTGACCCGTGTATAGAGGCTGACGACTCTGTGGTCAGAGGTGCGAAGATTGAAGACAGTAGAGGAGTAGCCTGAGAGGTCTGGAAGGGGGGTGTCAGAGATGGTGGAGCATTTCTTCATGGCAGAAAACAGCCTAAGAAAGAACTAGTGCCACCAAGGGCACCGGGGGTGGCCCAGACTGGTGACAAGAAGTAAGACATTTCCCTCCAAGCTCAGTGTTGTGGTGCAATATGTCACAAAGGAGTCTGGATGAGCCCAAGGCTTTGTGTGCCCAAAGGAAGAGCCAGGGAGGACAGAGAGATGTCAGTGCAGGAAGGGGCCAGCAAGGTGGGGCAACTGGGGGGATGACGACAGCCTGCAAGGGAAAGGGGTAGGGCATGGATACTGTAGGACAGCCTGGGTTGGATAGGAGAGAGGCACATGCAAAAGCTGAAAGCCCTGACAGAACCACCTTCTGCAGGCCTTTGACCATGACTGCTGTCTGTGCCACTGATGCCAGGAGGAGACAAGTGGCCCTTGCAGCCCTGGGACCTCATGGCCTCTTTGTACCTGCTCAGCAGGTCCTTTGGATTAAGGAAACAAGTCAATGTTTATTCAGCATCAGAGCCACATTTCCCTTGCTTGCCCATCCTTGTCATCACTCTCTGCAGTTTTCTGCTCTAACTGGAACTTGGGGACACATTTTCAGTTGTGTCCCTCAGTGAGACTCATTAACACTGCAAGAAACTTAAGTGTTTCAATCTCACTTTGAGTTCTTGAAAAGTTGTTTGCACTTACTCTCAGGGACTGAGTCTCAACACCAAACCCCCCTAGGGGTGATGATGAAATGTCTGGGGCTGTTGCTGTGCTGCTGAGCTGGGCCAGGCTCCTGGCACACAGGGAGCTCCTGGTTAAGTGAGCAACGTTGCAGAGAGACAGCTCTGCCCAGGATCAGCTCCTCTGCACAGCCCAGCAGGGCTGAGGGCACTGCCAGGGCAGCTTGGGGACACGAGCAGGGCACAGACAGAGCTTCAAGGGGCTCATCACTGGCAGGATGGCTGAGAGCTCACTGCAGGAGGAATCTTGGCAGAGATGCACACGGGGAGTCTGTGACTGAGGGACATTGCAGGGGCAGCTCCTGGCAGCATCTCCTAAAGCTGGCCCAGCCCCAGCTGATGGGATGGGTGAGGAGGTAGCTCTCAACCAGCCCAGGGAGCTGTTCCCAGGGTTGGGGGAGAAGGGTTCTGGGCAAGGAGTAAACCTGGCAGGTGAGGGAGCATCTTTTCCATGTCTCGCGTTTCAGGATCACACCTACTCACTGCTCCACACCACTGTACGATATTTAATGGATAATTTTTGGCAAAGTTCCAAAAATACAGAGGCTACAGGAAAGGAATGAGTCCTGATGTGTGTTTCCTGCTTAGACATTGTAGCACAGACATTGTTCTCTCAGCTCAGGAGGCTTTTACTCTCAGAGGTGAATATTTCAGACAGTCTCAAAAATGAGCACAGGATCCTGGGCAGTGCTGAGCCTTCCCTTGGGGGTTGGCACTCTCCTGTGCCAGCCCTTGGCTTCCCTGCGAGAGGGCTCCTGTCCTGCTCTGTCCAGCACAGCTGCATCTCTGGGCTGGCACAGGGGGAACTTCACAGAGCTGCCCTTCCAAGTAGCGCTGCCCTGCTCTCAGCACAGATCTTGGGCAGGTTTGTAAAGATTCATCTGTGTGTTAAGTCATCTTCAAGGCAGCACAAGGAAAAGTGCAGGGCAGATGGGAAACAGATTGACAGGCACTGCAGCTCTCCTGGCTCTGCAATAAGCAACGGAGAGCTCAGCCCTTCTGCCTGTCCTGTCTCAACACTCTTCAGATTTGTATTCAGAGAAATTTGCCTCTAAAAAAAACCCCCAGAAGTTATGACTGTAACCAAAAAACACAGTCAAAATGATTTTTACGATACCCTGTGCCTCTCTTGTGCAGCCCAAATTGCTCCAAGACAACAGTACAGGAATTTAACTTTTCCATCCAAGCTGGGTTCCCTGTGACATCCCCTGTGATCATGAGAGCTGTCACAAACCAACTCCATGTCTGCACTGCAGCAGAGCAAAGCTGAGTCCTTGGCAGCACATGGGCAGAGCTCCTGCTCCTCACAGCACCCTCAGAGAGCACAAAGCAGAGAAAAGAAATGCCTTTACTTGGAGGGGATTTCCCCAAAACCTGCACTGGTTTTGCTGAGAGGGGGCTGTCTTAATTGCTCCTTGTTCTTTCCTTTTCTGAACAGACCCTGTGCTAAGAAATAGGCAGTGCCCAACAGCAGCTCCATGGCCCAGTTCCTCCTGCTGGCATTGGCAGACAGGCAGGAGCTGCACTTCTGGTTCTTCCTGGGCATCTCCCTGGCTGCCCTCCTGGGAAACGATTTCATCCTCAGTGCCGTAGACTGCCACCAGCACCTGCACACCCCCAGGGACTTCTCCCTGCTCCACCTCTCCCTCACAGACCTGGGTTGCATCTGCACCACTGTCCCGAAAGCCATGCACAACTCCTTCTGGGACACCAAGGACATCTCCTACATGGGATGTGTTACACAGGCCTTTTTCTTTGTATTTTTCATCTCAGCAGAGTATTTCCTCCTCACCATTATGTGCTACGACTGCTACATTGCCATCTGTAAACCCCTGCACTACGGGACCCTCCTGGGCAGCAGAGCTTGTGCCCACATGGCAGCAGCTGTTTGGCTGTTGCCTTGTGCGAGCCCCAATGGAAACTTCACACACACCAATATGATGTTTTGGAAGCTTCATCTTTATTGGAAATTATACTTACTTTTATACAATTCAATAACTACCACATATTTGACAACTTATCATTGGTCACACACACAAAACACACACTGTTCACACGACTAAACTACATTCTTATTGGTTAGTCAATATATCTTATTTTTCTACATTCTTTTTCTTCTAAATCTGACTATAACACTCCATTTACATGCCTCCTAGTAGGTCCAGCTCAGCCTCCCGTCTGCAGGTGTTGTTTTTTTCGTTCCTGCAGATGTCCAGTCCTTGTCGTGTTATCAAAAAACACTTAGTCCTTGAAACTCCTCAAATTCCCATCAGCTGGTCCACTCCTGCCTTAACCCAAAAGGTCTCTAATTCTACACTGGACCACTGGGTTTCTCAATGCTCTGCTGCACAGAGTCAATACATTTTCCCTGTCCCTGTGCCAGGGCAATGCCCTGGGCTAGTTCTTCTGTGAAATCCCCCACATCCTCAAGCTCTCCTGCTCACACTCAGGTTACCTCAGGGAACTTGGGCTTCTTGGGGTTAGTTGCTGTGTAGCATTTGGGTGTTTTGTGTGGGGTGCTTGACTAAAACAGGCACTATGAACAAACCATACTATTAGGCCTTAGCCTGCCTTAGCAAGAGGTCTGCTTGCAGGTTGCGGGAAAAGTGCTGGCATTGATATCAGGCTGCAAGAATGTAAACTATTGAGATAATAAGAAGGAGCTCTCCGAGAAAGACAATGATTTCATGCGCACAGTCAGCACATGGACAGTGCATACAAACCAATCATATAGCAACACGTACTAAGTAGCAAGAAGTGTGTTTAACTATTGCAGGCCAATTATGCAGCGACATGTAGTTAACCAATAATGTAGTGACATGTATGTGTGTGAGAGTATAAAACAAATGCTGTAACACATAATAAACGAGATCTGCCTATCGATCACATTGGTCTGCGTGCAGTTACTCCGTGCCCTCTTGACCACAATTGGTGCTCCGGAACAGGGACCCGGGACCCTCTGGTCGTGCTGACATAGAGCAGTAGACGGCAGGACGAAGGGGGAAGAGAGGAAACTGGCTGTAAAGAGTGCTGTCCCCGGCACTGTTTTTTTTTCAATGCACAGGACATGGTAAGTCCGATTCTGTTGCTAGCAAGGGAAAGCCTGGGTGGGGGCTTCCCAGGCAGCCAGGGAGGAATGGGGGCTACCCTGACCAAAACGGAAGCGGTAGTGGTGAAACTCCTCCAACATATACTCTCTACGAGAGGAATTAAATACAATGAGGCTGCATTAGGGCAGCTACTGACCTGGGCAAAAGGGAAAGGACATTTTATGTCATTTAATGATGCCTTTGAGGTGACTTTATGGGAAAAAATTGGGCAAGATCTCTGGGATGAGGTCTCAAAGGGATCTAAGGACGAGACCAAACTATCTATAACATGGCGTTTAGTGAGTGATGCCCTGAAAGATGTAAAAGCTGAAAGGGAAGCTCACTCAGCTTTTGTTGCCTTGGAACCGCAGCCGCCTGCCAAACCCTCCCTGTTTTCGGGACCGATAATACCTGGTCCCGTAGCAACAGCTCCTTTACCTCCCTGGACACTGGCTCCTTCACCAGCAGCAGCGGGTCCTCTTATAGTTCCTCCTGTTGTTCCCCCTGCGCCTCCTGACCCAGCAGTGCGACCAAAACTGAAAGTTCGTTACAGGCTGATGGAATCCGAGGAGGGGGAAGAGGATAGGTCTAACCCACCACAAAACCCTCCTCCTCTTGATTCCACTAAGGATGATGCAAAGAAAAACTTGGTGAAGCCCGTTCCATCGCTATATCCACCGTTACCTGACTCATCAGTGGAGGCGGCAGGGGGAGAAGAAAGCGTTAAAAGGAAAGAAAGCCTGCGGGGGGTGGAGTGACAGCGGTAGGAAGGGCTCTGAGATCGCCTGCCTTCTGAAAGTATCCAACGGGAGAGGGAACTACAAAATGAAAAAGGGAACATCAATCTGTGAGATTTGGAGCAGCGACTAGAACAACTACAAGCGGAGATGCAAGCTACTCGGCAGTGTTATAAATTGGTATAAGAATTTAGACAAGTCAATTCCAATTAAACATTGATAAATTTATTAAGCAAGCAATAATAAAGCAAAGACAGCGCTGGGTGGCCTGGGGAGCAAGTCCCCCGTCCGAGACTCACACTGAAAATGTAGTAAATGTCTCTTTTTATACATTTGCAAGTCCTGGGTTTTGAATGTAAATCTACTTGTGGTTGCAGTGCATGGCTCGTTGTTAAGTGGTCATCTGGGATTCGTCAGAGATGAAAGTTGTAGTTCTTATCATCTGTAAATTCTACCGATACTGACACTTGTTTGTTTAACAGGATGTCTGTGAAACTTATCTTGTTTAATTATAAAAGTTTCTTATCCTCTCATACACAGAAGATTTTATGAACAAAGTTAACCCTTCTATTACAGGCAGCACGAGAATCCTTGACATGTGAATATACCACAACTTCCAATCACCCCCCTGAATTCGGGAAATGCTGGGGTTTCCCCTTTCCCTCCATTACAGCTTCCAACCCCGCCCCTGGGTTTGGGAGTAGCTGGGAATCAACCGCGCAGGGCTGCCGTAGCGGGAGGGGGGGAAAAGGGAGGGGTGTACTGGAAAGGTATCATACGGGATGCTTTGTTAGATGGAGTAATAATTCAACAGGCATATCCGGTAATTGTGGGACCAAATGGTCAAAATACTTGGCAACCTTTAGATTGGAAAATTATAAAAGAAGCACGACAGGCTATTCAGGCTAATGGCATAAATTCTCAGTACATGCAGGCCCTAATTAGGCATATTTTTACCACTAACCTCCTCACACCAGCAGATGTTAGACAGTTGACATCAATGATACTATCTCCCTCACAGCTGTTGCATTTTTTCAATGCTTGGTCAAATGCTTGTAATCAGGTAGCCAATACATCTAGATAGCAGGGAGATCCTTTGTTTGGAGTCATAGCACAAATGCTTTTGGGGGAAGGGTCTTTTGCTGATGCAACCTGGTAAGCGCAGTTCGCCACTGAATCATTGCAAATAAGTCAGGAAAAGGCCCTTCAAGCATTATTAGCAATACCCAGTGAAGGTACTCAGCAGGCTTATACAAGAGTGGTCCAAAAGGTGGGAGAGCCTTATGGGAACTTTATAGACCGGTTATTTGCAGCGTTACAAAAGACAGATTTAGATTACAATATTCGTAATAAATTGATAGATACTCTTGCCTATGATAATGCTGTCATGGTTTTGCCCACCAGCCCATCCCTGGGGCTGAGGATGGTTTTGTCCAGGTGATTTCTGGACAAAAAAAAAGCCAATCAAAAAGTTCAGTGACGCCTTTGCTAATTACATCTTTAAGAAAATGGAAGAGAAGGGTTGTGTCACAGTTAAAATTGGGGGCAGCAGCCATGTAGAAGAGCAGCGGGTCCAAGGAGGGCCAGGCCCCCTCCTCCCCTGGTTTGGGCCAGGTGCGGGGGCAGGTGTAGCACTGAAACCCCCCCCCTTCTCTTCTGTAAGAGAGTAAAGAAAAAAAAGTTTAAAAGACGAACTGCTTGGACAGAAACCGCTGCAGAAAAAATTCCAGCAAAGAGATAAGGGACTTCCAAGGTCAAAACTAGCAGCTGGAGGAGAAAGAAGAAAGTTCGAAGGGGGGAGAACTGCTTTTTCTCCTTTTTGTTCTCTCTCTTCAGCAGGGAAAAGACTGAAAAGTAATCCCTGCCACTTGTAAAAGTTTGTTGGGGTGAAGAGACCCCCCATGCAGCTCACAGAGGAGCTTGTGGATGTACCAGAGATTTGTGACTTTAACAGAGAGAGAAAGCCTTACACTGGAGCAGAAGCGGCTCGGGTGAGGCAGAGTCCTGTTGAAGACTTTGTGATCCTTGAAGAGGACGATGGTTATGCCGGAGCAAAGACAGTTCGGATAAGCTTGGGATCTCAGTAAAAAAATCCATGCTACTGGTACTGGAAATCTGTGACCCTAACAAAACCTACGTTGGAGTAAAAACAACTCGGGTAGGAATGTTGGGATCTGTGAGATCCATGTTGCTGCTAAAGATTTGTAACCTTGAGAAAGAAACTTACGTCGGAGCAAGGACAGCCCGGGTAAGATGTGGGAATCCAAGTAAGGAATTCGTGCTAAACCATGTGAAAGAAGTCTATCAAGGACTGTTTTCCCATGGGAAGAGACCTCCATAGGGAAACAAGAGTGGACTCAAAAACCATTATCCCCTGTAACCCTGTGGAAAAAGATCCATAGTAAACAAGTGTCCCCTTGCAAGACTATGGAAGAAGACCCTTCAAGACCTGGGTAACCCCCAGCCTTCAGTCTTAACCCAGGAGGGGAGTAGGCCCAGTCCTGGAAGCCGACACAGAGAAAGAAAAAGAATTCCAACTGCAACGAAGGTGCTGCAGAATTACTAGAGAGAGAGCTGGAACTCCGAGAATAGAGACGGAAACTACTTCTCCTCCTTGGACTGATATAAAGGGGGGAGGGAGAAGTATTTTTCTGTAAATACATAGCACTTTTACTTAAGTAGAGTTATTGTAGATATAGTTCTTTAGTAGTTTTTATTTTACTAATAATAAATGTTCATAATATTTTCCCCAAATCCAATCTCTTTTGTCTGCATAGACCTTCTCTCAACTGATTAATAATTATGTGGGGAGTGTGAAAGCAAATTGACCCAGAGCAAAACCACGACAAATGCGAATGAAAAGATGCGAAAAGCACTAGCTCACTTGCCAAAAGGAACAGGAGTTGCAGCTATGCTAGAAGCAGTTGAAAGAATGATGGGTATGGAACAGGTATAGGTTATGGTAGCAGCCGTAGGGGCTACAGTAAGACCCTTGGTAGGACTGCAACAGAAAGATATGAAGTGCTTTAGGTGCGGAAAAATGGGACACCTTAGAAAAGACTGTAAGAAAAGAACAGGGAAGTGGAATGTCAACTACAAGAAAGAAAATCATAATACGAATATAAACAAAAATCAGGAAACTACCAGATGAGCGCGCCACGCCCGCGCGCGCAGACATCAAATCAGGGTGCCTGGATAACCACTCCGCAACAACAAGAGGAAACACCGGAGTGGATGTGGAAACAGGCATAGATCTTTATCTTACTGATACCAAAGTGGCAGTAATTGAAACCAATATGAAAGGGCCATTAGGACATGGATTAAGTGCACTACTCCTTGGACGATCATCCATTTCAAAACAGGGAATTTTTGTCTTACCAGGTGTTATTGATGCAGACTATACAGGCCAGATATGTGTCATGGTTTATACACTGTCACCACCAGTTTTTATTCCAAAAGGTCAAAAAATTGCACAACTAGTTCCTTTTAAAGGATGTGCCCCTGAAGCAGCAAGTAAGGACCGGGGAGAAGGTGGTTTTGGATCAACAGGACAAGCGTTAGTTAATCTCGCCATG